GCATGTGTTTGCACCCCCAGGGTTTGGGGTACTCGGTGGGTGAGGCTTTACAGGGTGGGATGGAGATGGGGAGCATCCTCTCGCTGGGCCCAAGGAGCTGCCCCAGTCCTGGGGAGCATGTTGGGATGTGGCGGGGACTCACGGGGGAGGCCACCTGCCTGAAGAAGCCATGAAGGGCTGGGATGGGTGCGTCAAAGAGCAAGCAGAGCAGTGATGGGGACAGTGGGTGCTCCAAGAGGGTCCTTCAGGCCCACTGGCTGAGGGTTTCGGTGCCACTCAGCTGCCCCCGGTGCTTGTTTCAGCTGGACAATGAATCCTCCATCACCGACACCATCTTCCAGTTCACCACGGAGGAGCTTTCCCTGCTGCCCCTGCGGGACCTGGCCGTCTTTCACAATGGAGATGCCTCACACCAGTTTGGTTTCACAGTCGGACCAGTTTGTTTCAGCTGAAACCGGTGACACCCAAACCAATCCGGCCAGTTCCCTCCACATTCAAGAACGGTCCTGCTGGGGACATGCGTGGAGGCTGAGGGTGGCACAGGGCTCCCACCCGCTCCCCGGAGCTACTTGTCCCCCTTTTGAGATACATGTTTGTAGCTGCATTATGCCACGGACTACACTTCCTTCTGGAGTAGAAGAATATTGTTTACAAAAGTAATTTCTCTATAAATTATATATATTATATATATATATGAGAAGATGCTAATTTAATAACTGGTTAGGGGAGGCTTGTATAATTATAACCACTGGGAACTGTGCTAAAGACAAAAACCACAAGCAAAAATATTGCCAGCTTGGGAGAAGGGGAAAGAAAGGTCTTTCTCTGCCTCCGTCAAGGGCACAAATCCTTGTGAGAAGCAGCTCCAGACAGCCCTGGCAGGCAGGTCCAGGATCTGCTGCCCGCTCCCCCCAGGGCAAAGCCACCGCAGGCCCCTGCCCTCGGCTGCTGTGAGCCCCAACGGCTCCAACCCAGCCAGGCAACAGGGACTGAAAAGGGGTGAAGTACGCAAAATCCCCAAGTCCTGGCTCTGGTTTTGGGGGTCAGAGGGTGTTTAGTGGTGCAGAGCTGGGTGCTATAGCAAGACTGTGCTACAAGGCAGCATCGCTCCGGTCAGGCAGGGGCGGGAATTGAAGCTGTTTGGCCCCCGTGCTGCAGCACTGGAACTTTCCCCTTTGTTTTTGTTGTTCCCAGCGCTGCTTCCCTTGCCTCTGACAGTCCTGCTATCACTGGGCTGCTTGACCCAGGCGGGTAGGGGTCAGTCCTGAGGGCTTTACATGTGGTACCTGAGCCAGAGCTGGATTACCAGCACCCCGATTTCTCTGCACAGCCCCCAAACCTCCAGATCTCAGCTGGCTTTGTGCTGCATCACTGATTTTCTCAGCATCCTTCACTGATTGGGCTCTAATGCAGAGCTTGCCTGCCTTGCCCCCCAGAGTGTGTGCCCAGGCTGCCTGCATCACAGAATCACAGAATCATCCAGGTTGGAAAAGCCCTTGAAGCTCCTCCAGCCCAACCAGATCCCTCAGCGCTGGGTCAACCCGACTCTTCAACCCCTCCAGGGATGGGGACTCCCCCCCTGCCCTGGGCAGCCCATTCCAACGCCCAACAGCCCCTTCTGCACAGAAAACCTTCCTCAGAGCCAGTCTTGGGTGTGTCGGGGTGAGGTTGGGCATTGATGTTGATCCCATGGAGCAGTGTGGCAGTCAGGCCAGGGTCAAGGATTGCAGCAGGTAAAGCTTTTGGGAGGCACATTCCCTAGTGAGGCATTTAAACAATGCCAGACTGTACAGGCAAGCCATAGTGCTCTCTGTTAGCTCAGTCCCTGGTGTAGCATCTTTCTGTGGGGTGCAGTAGCTGTCCCTGCTGTGCTATGTGTGTGTCACCAGCCATGGTGGCCAGGGGGGACACAGGGAAGCGCTCAGCCAGCAGCCCCTTCCAGGCAGGGACTGATCACCTCAAAAAGGATTTTTCTACCCTGGAGTTTAATTTCTCTTTGCTGCAATATGCCAGTGGTTGTGTGTAAAACCACTCGTGGCTCTGCCCTGCGAGGGCATGATGCCAGTCCTGGCCCTGCCTGCAGGACTTTTCCCCTGCCCAAGAGCTGCCCACACCCTTTGAAAAATCCCCAGCAATGTCCCTTAACTTGCAGCCAGCCACAGGGACACGCGAACTCATTGTCACGAGGGGGCCAAAACCCCAGTCCCTGCGAGGAAGGGACTGTCCTTCGCGCAGGGAGGTGAAAGGGGAAGAGGAGCTGCCTGCAGCAGGGCTGGCCGGGGAGCAGCCGGTTCCTGCTCGCTGCAGAGTTTCTGCACCACAGGAAGAGGCATCGGGCAGCTCCCAGGGTCTGGCATGTCCGCTGGGTGCTGGTGAGAGAGACCCTATGCAGCAGGTTGAAAGGGAAATTTAAATTCCAGCTCAAGATACATATTAGATCCTAGGGAGAGAAGCAGAGCGGACTGTTATGTGACAGCAACTGCATTTTTCAAGGTTGAATTTTTTGATTTGGTTTCGGGTTTTGGTGGTTGTTTTTTGTTGTTTTGTTTTTTTTCACAAATTGCTAATTTTAGCAGCATTTTCTGCTGTGTTTTTGTGAAGGAGGAAAGCAGGACACACAGTCCACACCTCACCTCACCCGCTGGCTATGCTGGCCATAACCCAGAGTAGCTTCAGCTGCCAAAAAAATTGTGGGTGCACTTTTGACGGCAACTTTTGAGGAAAGATTTTAAAGAAAGATTTTAAAGAGACACACGTTGACGGGCTTAGCCAGTATATTTTTTAAAAATTTTAGCAGCACACACCCCCTGAATCACTCCAATTCCACCTCTTTGGCCATAAGGAAAAATCCCCCGCTACCAAAAGTGGGGTTTCGCCGGCACCCCCGTATTTCCTTCGATACATGCTGGAAGGCATCGGGTGCTGCTGGGGGCACCGGCACCTGTTTGCTCTTGGGGAAGGAGGCCGGGGCCGCTCCAGCGCTCGCTCCGGGGCTCCCGGCTCCGCGGAGGTGCCCGGCGCGGGC